ATGCATCAAATCACGTCTTAAGGTTTCAGTAACACCACACCACAAAAAGACTCAATTGGAAAGTGTAAATAATGATTAAATAAATATATTTGGTCAAATCTTCAGATTCAGATCTGTTCTTTACTTATTTTAATTGTACACCTATAGTCTCCATAAGTGTTGGGACACACTGATGATTGTGCATTTACAATTTCTGCCTGAACATCTGTAATAAGTGAAAAATGCAACAAATATAAGAGAGCAAATACATTGAATGCGTTTACATTTTCTAAGGATTCAGACTATAAGACAGTATCCTTCATCTGTCCTCAGTCAATCGATAAAGCTCTTATGTGTGTGGTCTCTGGAGAGCCCCAAGGAGAGTGTGTGGTCCGAGCCAGACACATTATCATGAGGGTTATGAGCACACATGCAAACAGCACTCTGCAAGTTTGGTCCTTGTTTCATCCCCTGTAATCTCAAAGTGTCATTGTACAAAAACCCTAATTGTTTGGTTATAGTATAGTATATTAAAATAAGTAATAGTATAGTGTGTTGAAAATATAAAGAGTCATAGTTTATTTTGTCAAAAACTATGCAGAGTATTATGTCAAAAATATCAGAAAAATCGACATAGAAAAATCGACATAGAAAAATATGCAAAAAAACCTTCAATAGTATGTTGACATTTTCAGCAAAAACGAAATAGAATAACTCTGTCTTAATATGCAAAAACTCAACATTGTAAAGTATGTCAAAAGTATCAGAAAAGACGACATAGTCAAAAAAATACAAAATAGTATGCGGAGTGTAGTATGTCGTAAATATACAAGAAAACATAAAATAGTAACGTATGTTAAAAATGTACACAAAGACGACATAGTATAGTATGTGGAAAAATATGGGGAAAAAACGACATGATAAAGTATCTTGACATTTTCAGAAAAAAAGACAAAGTATAGTATGTCGAAAATATACACAAAAATGACATAGTAAACTATGACAATCTGATCAATGATGACATGTATAGCCGCATGTCATCATTTCAGCGCTGGTTGTCTTGGTGGTGCCCAGCAAACAATGTGGGCTTCTTAAATAATTGGACAGCCTTCTGGGGAAAACCTGGTCTGATTAAGAGAGACGGCATTCATCCTACTTTGGAAGGTGCAAATCTCATTTCGGCAAACATTTCAGGGCTTTGTGGACTTAATCCATGACAAACTGGAGTTGAGACCAGGAGGCAGAGTCGCATTCTTACACGCTTCTCTGCGCTCTCTCTTAGGCAGTCATCCATAGGAATCCCGAACCCAATAAAATACCCAATATTAACGGTGTGTGTGTCTGCCCAAGGACAATTTAAGGTAAAACCTAATAGAGGTGTCATACATAATAACCTAATAAAAGTAAATGTAACAACTACTACAGTGCAACAAAACAGGAAGATTAAATGTGGTCTCTTAAACATAAGATCTCTAGCATCTAAAGCAATATTGGTAAATGATTTAATATCAGATTATAATATTGATATATGCTGTCTCACTGAAACTTGGTTGAGACATGAAGAATATGTCAGCATAAATGAGGCCACTCCACCCAGTCATATCAATACTCATATTGCCCGAGGCACGGGCCGAGGAGGTGGGGTTGCAGCAATCTTTGACTCAAGTTTACTTATCAATACTAAACAAAAATTAAATTATACCTCCTTTGAAAGCCTCGTTTTTAGTCTTACGCATCCGACCTGGAAAACTTTGCAGCCAATCTTATTTGTTACAGTGTACCGTGCACCAGGTCCTTATTCAGTATTCTTATCAGAATTCTCTGAGTTTTTATCAACTTTGGTACTTAAAACAGATAAAGTAATTATCGTAGGTGACTTTAATATTCATGTTGACGATGATAAAAATAGCCTTACTGTTGCATTTAACTCTANTAACTATGGATGGCATTAATTTGGCCTCCAGTGAGACTGTAAGGAATCTTGGTGTTATATTTGATCAGGATTTATCCTTTAACGCCCATATAAAATCAATTTCAAGGACCGCCTACTTCCATCTACGTAACATTGCAAAAATCAGGCATATCTTGCCTCAAAACGATGCAGAGAAACTAGTCCATGCATTTGTTACTTCAAGGCTGGATTATTGTAACTCCTTATTATCAGGGTGCACCAAGAAGTGAGTCAAGTCGCTTCAGCTGATTCAAAATGCTGCAGCTCGTGTACTAACCAGAGTTAGGAAAAGGGACCTCATTACTCCTGTTCTGGCTGCCTTACACTGGCTCCCTATAGAACACAGGATAGAATTTAAAATTATTCTTCTCGCCTACAAAGCCCTTAATGGGCAGGCGCCATCTTACCTTAAAGAACTCTAATACCCTACTAACTAGGGCATTGCGTTCCAAGAATGCAGGGTTGTTGGTTGTTCCTAGAGTCTCTAAAAGTACAATGGGAACCAGAGCCTTTTCTTATCAAGCTCCACTTTTGTGGAATCAGCTTCCAGTTTGTGTTCGGACGGCAGACACCCTATCCGTTTTTAAGAGTGCGCTTAAGACCTTCCTTTTTGATAAAGCTTATAGTTAGGGCTGATTAGATTCAGCCCCTAGTTTTGCTGATATAGGCTTAGTTTGTCGGGGGACATCTTACTTCTTCCTTCTCTCTGTCCATACCTGTGTACTCTCATGTTCCGATTAACCCAGCTTCCCCAAATTTCTTTCTTTTTGGTGTCTATATACGCCGGGATCCGGAGTCATGGATGATCCTGCGGTCCTGTGTCATGGATCGCGAGTCCTGGATCTTGAGTCGTGGCTGTGGTCCTGGATCATAAGTCCTGGATGGATATCCTTGTGGATTCATCTTCCTATTATACACACATGCATTTCCAAACATTTGGACTACCTATGTTGCAAATATATTATCTTTTCAATGTACACACGGCATCTATTGCACGTCTGTCCGTCCTGGGAGAGGGATCCCTCCTCTGTTGCTCTCGCTGAGGTTTCTCCCATTTTTCCCTTTAAACTGTGGGTTTTCTCTGGAAGTTTTTCCTTGTACGATGTGAGGGTCTAAGGACAGAGGGTGTCGTATTGTCATACTGATATTCTGTACAAACTGTGAAGTCCACTGAGACAAATGTAACATTTGTGATATTGGGCTATATAAATAAACATTGATTGATTGATTGATATGTCAGAAATTAGCATTAAAAAAACATTAAATAGTATAGTATGTTGAAAACATGGAAGAAAAAAAATACGTAGTATAGTAGGCCTATATGGTGAATATGCAAAAAGACGACATAGTATAGTATGTCAAAAATATCAGTAAAAATGACATGGTATTGTATGTTGAAAAATTTGCTAATAAACGACATAGAATATAATGTAAAAAATGTACAAAAAAAGATGACATAAATATAAATATGCCCCAAAACTACGTAGTATAGTGTGTCGACATTTTCAGAAAGAACAACAGAGTATGTTGTAAATAGCAAAAAATGACATTGTATAGTATGTTGAAAAATATGGGTTAAAAACGACATAGTATATGTCGACAATATTACAAAAGTACCAACCAAAGTGTCAAAAATAATTATGTTATGAATACAGTAATATATTATATTCTGGTGCGGGGGATACAACAAAGCAGTCAAACAAACAAATATAATTTTTAAAGCAAAGTTTATTGCATATAAAGTAAAATACAAGCTAACAAAAGAACAGAAGCAGTGGCTGATAATGCAGCAGAAACTGACTGGATGAGAGAGAGAACGCTGATGAAGCTTCACAGTTTTTAAAGTTCAGCCACCAAGCGGGACAACATATCAAGGTACGGTTTGTCGAACTTTTAAAAAAAAACGACATAGTATGTCAAATATATCAGAAAAAACGACATTGTAAAGTATGTTAAAAATGTAAAAAAAGACGACAGTATAGTATGTTGAAAAATATGGGGAAAAAAACCACATGGTAAAGTATCTTGACATTTTCAGAAAAAGATACACGTATAGTTTTTAAAAGTTCAGCCACCAAGCGTTACAACAATACAAGGGAAGGTTACCTGCAAGACACGGCAAACAGGACAGCAGGGTGTGCATGTCGTGTCTATTATCCTTTTGATCTTCGAGTCCCTTTCTGGAGGTCTGCTTAGTGTCCTTATTATTTAAAATGCATTAATGCTCTTTCAAGTCTTTCATCTTTCTTCCCTGCATCACCAGTCTCCCATTCTGATAAATGCCATATGTATGCCATATGCCATATATATGCCATGGTGGTGTAGCCAATCAGATCTCAAATGGGATGTCCTAGCCTGTCGTTGCCTGGCAACTGGGACTGCTGCTACATAATTCAATCCACATGAGGCGTGTGGTGCAGTGGATAGAGCCTTGGTGTTGGGATAAGGGGAGCACAGGTTCAAACCCCACTGCAGTCAGCATGTGGTTGTGTCCCTGGGCAAGACACTCCACCCCAAATTGCTCCTGTGGGGATTGTCCACAGTATTGAGTATGTAAGTCGCTTCGGATAAAAGCGTCTAACAAGTAACATGTAATGTAATGTTGGAAAGATCCTGCAGGGGTTTATATAGCAAGAGGCAAATTACCCAGGATGGACTCCATTTCCCACACTGCTGAGCAGGAACGTGATACGGTAGATAGAAAGACAGAAATGTAGACGAAATGGAATACAATGCAACATAATATGAACAACCCTCTTCACAAGCGATGTATAATGCATTGTATGAGAAAACTGTTTTGCTTCTATGCTTAAAAATATCACCTCCACCTCTCTATTAAGAGAACTGAAGCATTACAAGCATCATGACACAGCGCTGTTCTGACACAGCGGCATGTTTTGTCCAATAGGGAGCATCAACCAGTTGTCACATACATTACATCACATGCTCTGCTGCTGCTCCAGGGAATTAGACACGGGAAGGGTTGAAAAAAAAGGTGGGAGGATGCAAGTGGATGGAGTCAGCAGTGTATGTGTGATAGAGAGAGGGAAACAGGAAAAGACAAGCACACAAGAGCTGAATGAGGATTACAATGCGTATGATGCTAGAGACAGGAGGTAATATTAACAGAATGTTCTGAATCTCTCTTCATCTCTTTTTTATTCTCCAATCATCTTCTTTCTTTGGAATATCATTTAGCTAAGTGCCTCTGCTGCTATAGCCAGGGTGATCTCATCTCTTGTGCACCAGGACTGAAGAGTGAGTAAGGACCTAGCTGGGAACTCCCTGCCAAAGAGAGGGAGAGAGAAGAAAGCTATCAGGGGACACACTGGGATTCAGTGTGGACCTGAGGGAGAGCCGAGGAGGTAAGATGAGTCAAAACAACGGGGACACACTGACAGCCCGTGGACCTGACTTGACCAGCATCAGCAACCGGCCCCCCTGGGAAGATGCTAGGATGAAGTTGAAGCCCTCCACCCCCACCAGGAAACCTAAACCTGTGAGTATCCTTCAGCCTTCATCCATTTACAACTGCAGTATCAGAGTTGTTGACAGCAAAGGCGACCCAAGTCAAATGTAAACTTTGGAGTTTAATTATTTTTCTCTTACTTGATAGTGAAAGCCTGCCAAGACACACTTGTGTTCAGGACTTGAGGCTGCTTATTTCACGGTGGTCATGATCTGACCTGTCATCTTTATCAAAGGTAGCCCTGTTAAGAAAACAAGGGTTAATATCATGATTACTAGCAAGTGGAGTGCAGCATTGAAATCCTCAGTAAGAAAGAAAGTTAGGTTGAGATATCATTAGGTGAAGCAGGAGATAGAAACTCAGAAAGGCTTTATTGTTAGAAACTGAGCAAAGCACAGAGGGCTCTTGTTTGATATCAGGTGCAAGGTTGTCTGTGAAGGCTATCGTTTGGATTTCTTACCTGGAAAGGATGCAGCAAAACACAAAAAAAGACAAAAACAACTGCTACTTCAGGCACTTACAGAATGTAGGGAGTTGTCTCAGTTGTAAGTTAAAAAAATACTTGTTAAATATTCTTTAAGCAGTGGAAGTACGTTTTCAACCCCAGGTTTCAGGTTAAAATATCTTCATGGTATTATCTGGTCTACTGACATTACAGTAATATCATTTACAAAAGTATAACCAAACAACAGAAGCTCAAAATGTGTTGTGGATATAATATGATGATCAAAAGTTTGAGCCCCATTATAAACAGTGTGCTATATTCTGTGATGTTGTCCCAGTCTCATAATGCTTAACAGGCCGGCTCGGTATGTGGGCCTGCACTATCAGAGTCATGCAAAGGAAAGTATTTCTTATCACATTGTCACCTCTATTCTGTCACAACAACTCACTCAGTTTACCCACTGTTGGCATTAAATAAAGCCTTTATTAAGTAGTTTCTTTCTACTTGGAGCTGTCAGCAAATCAGCAAACACTTTTCCAATATTCTAGTGCCACTGCTCACAAAATGCACTGCGTCCCTTCAGGCACCATAACCTTGTTTGATAACAACCAAAAGAAGGACAACTTGTTTATGAAGCAACATGTGTGTGGCAACAATTGTATTAAGGTGTTAGGCGTGCTTGTACAGAGATATCGTTGCCTTTGGAGAAAAAGCCACGCGAGCTGTTTCTACACATTACAGTCTTTATGCTAAGTTTTGCTAAGCAAGCTGATGTGTCTCGCTTATTGAGGTATAAGTATTTGCATCTGAAATAAGGCAACTGTGATTGTGAAGAAAACTAAAGCTGGATGTTATTGCAACTCTTTTTTACTCTAGCCAAAGCCGGAGAATGCCATCACCATCGGCGTGTCGGCACGAGTCCTCTTCAACATGGAGAAGGAGCAGCAGATCTACGAGCAGCAGGGCCTTGAAGACTACATCAAGTATCAGGTGGAGCATGAAACGCAGCCTTTCAGCCCCGGCCCTGCCTTCTCCTTTGTCAAGGTCAGAGAACACGCACGCACGCACGCACGCACGCACGCACGCACGCACGCACGCACGCACGCACACACACACACACACACACACACACACACACACACACACACACACACACACACACACACACACACACACACACACACACACACACACACACACACACACACGACACACGACGACGACGACGACGACGACACACACACACACACACACACACACGACACACACACACACACACACACACACACACACACACACACACACACACACACACACACACACACACACACACACACACACACACACACACACACACACACACACACACACACACACACACACACACACACACACACACACACACACACACACACACACACACACACACACACACACACACACACACACACACACACACACACACACACGACACACACACACACACACACACACACACACACACACACACACACACACACACACACACACACACACACACACACACACGCATAGAGTATTTTTTTTTTTTATAGCTGAAATCTGTGTTTTGTCATGTTGCCAGGCTCTGGAGGCTGTGAACACTCAACTGAGGGAGCTTTACCCTGACAGCGAGGAGCTGTTTGATGTGGTGCTCATGACTAACAACCATGCATACGTTGGCCTAAGACTTATCAATACCATCAACCATCACCGTAAGTTACTAACATGAGTGATAAAGGCTTGTGACACCCTTTTGTCTTGTGTATATTCCCATCCAGCATCACTGGTTCATCTTCTGAGTGCAAGCCATCACTTTAGCCATCAGATTGTTGACACATTTCAGTTAGGTCTTCTTGTTCATTCTTGATGTAGCTTTAAATCAGTAGTGTAAGCTAGATCTGTAACCTAGAACTAATGTTAGCATGCTGTTTGTGTAACTGCAACTCCCAAATTAAAATATATTATACATGCTTGGAATTACCACCCAACATAAAAACCTTTAAGTAAAAAGCTTTAGTTTTCATTGGGTAAATTACTGAAATAGCAAAAGATCAGATGGGCTGGCATTCACTAGCTGTTCTGCACAGCTGGTCCTCTTTATTCCCACAAACAGAGCGACCCATGACAATATGAACCCAGGGTATGAGTGGTGGGAGTCGTGGAGCTGCAGTCCTTGCTCCTTGCAGGGGTTTGGCAGCCCCTCACCATACGCCCACTGAAGGAGTCAGGCCAAACAGAAACATCTCAGGCTCTTTCCTCAACACTGGGTTTTTGCTTCATGCTTTATAACCTAAAGCCACCCACCACCAGCGCTCAGTATTTAATGCTGAAAGTGATCTGCTATGAATGTAAAAATATGAGGTTATGCACCAATTCATTTAATTCTTGCATTTTGAATGTAATGCACATTAACTTATCTTTGATTCCTCTTCTCCGCAGAGTTGTTCATCGAGCGCTTCTGTATGACGGGAGGGAACAGTCCCATAGGCTACTTGAAGGCCTACCACACTAACCTGTACCTGTCTTCTGATCCAGACAAGGTTCGAGAAGCTCTGGAAGAAGGTACATATAACTGAGAAGCTGGCTAGCACTGTCCATAGTTGTAAGCACTGTTAATATTCATAATGCTTTATAAAATAATCACAGCACGAGGGCTCAATGTACATTAGCAATTGGTCATTGCTACCTGTGCGCCATGATGTCAAAGGGTTAAAAAACTGCGACCCAGTAAAGTTTGAAAGCAAACAAAAACAAAACGGTGCTATATAATCAGATATTTAGCATCATAAGTATGATTATATTGTATGCGCATCATAGAAAGTGTTCCAAGAAGCTATGACTACACTACAGAGGCCAAAGTGAGTGTCTCTGCTATATGGTATGTAACATGTATTTATACACACCTGTTTCTAATAACACACTCAGGTATAGCAGCAGCTACCATGTTCACCCAAGAGAAGATAACGGAAGTGTCGGACACCCAGCTGCGAGTCGCCTTCGATGGTGACGCCGTCCTCTTCTCTGATGAGTCTGAGCGCATTTACAAGGCCCATGGACTGGACAAGTTCTTTGAGCACGAGAAGGCACACGAGAACAAGCCTCTAGACCATGTACAGTATACACAAAAGAGACATATATCAGTATCACACCACTATTGTAAATGTACTGTAGTACATTAAATGAAAGGACTGGTTTACTACAACTTAGGTATTAGTGAGTACTTTTGACAGCCACTTCTATCACCTATGATAATAGTGTAAAAATGCAAGTAATTTCTAGGATTGGGAATCATAGTGACGTCTCTGCAAAATCAAAGACTTAATTTGGTCTTTCAATCAGTTTTATAATTTTACCATTTGTGCTTTCACTGCTATTTGGCTCATCTGAGGGTTTGTCATAGCCTTAATGCTTACTGCTTGCCATCTTTGAGTGCTGTTGTGATATCACTGTATACCAGATCTCAGGAACTAACCTGGTAATTAGAAAAGACATCATGAACTACAGTAGGAACTATCAAAGTTATCATAGAGCTGCTGGTAAACTCTCTATAAAGAGAACAGTTTATTTCAAACTTTGGCACAGATTATACCAATTAGGCATATTTTTATCTTGAGTTGGCCCTTAATAATATAAAAACTAGCAAAAGGTGACTTTGGATTTACTCTATTCCTTCTTCTTTGTGCAGGGACCCCTGAAATGTTTCCTGGAGGCTTTAGGAAAGCTGCAGAAGAAGTTTTACGGCAAAGGTCAGCGCATGGACTGCCCCATCCGTACCTACTTGGTGACCGCTCGCAGCGCAGCCAGCTCTGGTACCAGGGCTCTGAAGACTCTGCGCTCGTGGGGTCTGGAGATCGATGAGGCTCTCTTTCTGGCAGGGGCACCCAAGGGCCCCATGCTTGAGAAGATCAGGCCGCACATTTTCTTTGATGACCAGATGTTTCATGTGGAGGGGGCAGCAGAAATCGGGACAGTAGCATGCCACGTGCCCTATGGGATATCTCAGGCAATGCAGAAGAAAGGAATCAATGACAAAGAGACTTTTTCAGCACCAAAGTAGCCTGAACATCACTGGGTTACAACTGTATATTTACCTGTTATTTTATCCATTGTTTTCTACGTTTTCAGTTAATAAAAAAAGGTACAACTTTCTAACAAGAGCTCAACCAAACCCTTTATCATTTGTTCCTAAGCTTTAAGTAAGGTTTTTTTTAGACTATTCAGGGTGCAAAATCATATGACTATGTTTTAAAAAAGACCAAAATAAATTATAAAACCACATAAATGATCCACTAATGATTTGTTAACATTTATTACAGTACTATTACTAAATAGAGTATACACCAGTCAAGGGATCATTCACAACCTTGACACCTATCTCTGCTTCTTAACCTGCCTCCCCGTTTTTTTTTACTGCTTTTGGTTCCGCATTCCTGCCAAACCCTGACAGAACAAACTCACCAAGATGGACCCAGCAGTACTTTTTAGGATGACCTTTATGATTTATCTCACAAGCTTTTATGCATTCTTGTGGAGTGGAGGAGAGCAACTTGTAAAGAGGCTCAGGAGGCTGCTCTTTCCCTTCCATGCCGGGAAGTGGCTGATAAGCCCTGGTTATGGAGCTCACTGCCAGGCTTTTGAAGGAACTTTGTGAATTCCTCCAATAGACTGCACGCCTGCTTTAAACTCCTGTTACCCCTGTGCTCCGGATGCTGTGTCTCCAGAGGGGTCCCACAGGCCTCCTGCCCGTCCTAACTTGGTCCCATCTGCCGTCCTCCAGAGTGGTCCCTTTAAAAAACATAAAACATCTTATCAAAATAAAGTATATTTTAAAAAAAAGAAGCAGAACCAAATATCCCAAAAAAACACAGATTCAAAGCAAGATTTATTTACACACCATCAAATGAACTGTTGGGGAAATATTTTCCTAGGCCCATAACTTTGACCTAGTCTATCAGCTTGAACTGCCCTCGCTGAGCACAGGCCTGTGACCTTGGGCTGCTGTGCTCTCTGTGTCCCTATTCCTGCCTGTTGGCGTCAGCTGATAGAGGTGTTATCGTTCTGTGCCTGATTTATCTTGTCATGCAAAATGTAAATTATTTTCTCATAACCAGCTAAATACATGGGACTGGGGGAGACATCTTCAGAATTGGTTTGGACAAGAGCTGTATCACCTCATGGCTGCAGCCAATGTCTTTGTCAATCCTCCAGCCGTAATTTAAAATAAATCCTTAGTGTTTGCCATCAAGTTCCAGCTCTCCCATAATCTCATTGTGTTTCGACTCCACACTCCAGAAACCTCCGATTGTTTTTGAAAAAGAGGGAGTCTGAATGCAGCCGAGATGTGATTTATGCAGAATCTCAATTTAGAAGTAAACAGTTCTGTCAATTCATTGCTTGTCTTTGTGTTTAAGAGTTTGGAAGCTTTTGCCTTTTTTGTCAAATTGGCATGTTGTTGATATCAGTCTGTTGTAAATGTGTTTTTTTGATCGATGTGTATGAATGTATTTTGAAAATGGCAAATTTGTGAAATTAACAATTTTACATAATATTTATTTAAAATGTATTCCTGTTCAATACATAATACACTCAGCGTTTATTGACATGCATCTTGTGCATTTTTTGTTTCTGCTACTTGACCCCAAAGTGTAGAAGGTTCAATGTCTCTCTTGTTGCTTGCCGGTCTGTCTCATTCTGTCATTCAGTAGTTGTTATATTTTATAAAGTCCATGGTCACTCTTTGTATGAGTGTGAAGCAAGTTGGTATTGACTGAAAAATTTTGTTATGATAAGGAATCTTGGTAAATCTGGGCCAAATGTGGACTGTTTAAGTAAAAATGTGATGAATGTATTAAAATGTTAGGAAAATATCACTATGTTCTTTACTCCCTCACCCCTAAAAATAGCTCATTGGTTATGCAGAGGTGAACGTTTCAGACTCTTATTCAAGGATTTTAATAAAAAGCAAGAGCTAAAACAAAAAGATGGTGGCCTTTTTTTCTGTTCCCAGCAGGGGGAGACAGACACCACAGGCTGATGCAACCTGTTCTGCATCACATGAAGACCAGACAGTCATTTCCAGCCATGACATTGAGCCCAGTAATGTTGTCGCCTTTACATCAGACAAATATTTTATTGAGTTTGCTTGCTTTTCTCTTTGGAGGTCATCACATAACGACATTGTAATACACGGTTCGGCTGCATTAAATATTACATATCTGCCGTAGTTCGCTATTTATAGAGCCCTGATGAGAGGACTTCTAGACAAACAGGAAGAACTGCAGCTGAAACTGAATATGTGACGTGGATCGTAAATATATCAGCAATTAAACAAAATCGACACGTATACCATTACACCCCTACTACACACACACATCGAACGGCCCGATTATTCCCCCTATTACTCGTTGTATGAAGGAAATGTCCGGTCACAAAGGCACATGATGTGTATGTGCTCTGCTCAGCTCCGCTGTGTGTGTGTGTGTATGTTCGGTGTGTTTGTGTGTGTCCAACAACGGCATTTGTTTTCAAATTACCATGTACACACACACATCTGGCCAACTCCATAGTTATGTGGGTGTTCCCAAAAGAAGTTAGTTTAATCTTAATCTCGATGTAGTGCTAAATGCTGTCGGAGTCTACCAGAACGAACGCCCCGGTATGACGTTATTATGGCTGGCAAACAAGCCCAGGGGTCTCACTGAGATTTCAGTTATATCAATATGTGTACAGTGGTCCTTATTTGTTTTAATTGTATCCTGGTTTTAAACTTTGTTAATATGTTTTGGATGCAGATTGTTCCATTATCTATTCAGGCTGTTACATACAATTTGCCACTGTTGCCACCTATATTAGGCTATATTATATTAATATTCGCGTCGAAAGGAGCCAGTTGAGGTGGTTCGGGCACCTAGTTAGGATGCCACCTGGGTGCCTCCCTAGGGAGGTGTTCCAGGCACGTCTAGCTGGGAAGAGACCAAGGGGTAGACCTAGAACCAGGTGGAGGGATTATATCTCTTCGCTGGCCTGGGAGCGCCTTGGGATCCCCAGTCAGAGCTGGTTGATGTGGCCAGGGAAAAGAAAGTTTGGGGCTCTCTGCTGGAACTGATATCCCCGCGACCCGACCACGGATAAGCGGGAGAAGATGGATGGATATTAATATTTGTAAAGCGGTCCTAATTTTTTGTTTGAATTGTATCCTGGTTTTAAACGTTGTTAATATGTTTTGGATGCATATTGGTATTTCTTCAGGCTGTTAAATACAATTAGCCTCTGTTGCCACCTGCTGGTGAGTAAATATTAAAATTAGTTAAAATTGACAACCGGTCCGCGATTTTTTTTTAATGTATCTGCCGGTCCTTGACACAATAAAGGTTGGCAACCCCTGTTTTAATGCACTGTTGAGGTTTTTCATCTCCGACCTTGCCAGGTATTGAACATTCAATACATAAAGAACACAATTATTATATATAAAACACATCATTTATGTGATTATACTAAATGATTTAATGCTGATGTAACGCAAATGTTTCCAACTTGGGATCAATAAAGTATATCTTATCTTAAGATGATCGATGGCTACTAAGCACTTTGAATTGTCGCGTACAAAAAAGTGCTATATAAATAAACTTGCCTTGCCCTACTGCCATATTTGCCGTCAAAAAACGTCATTTAATCAATGTTTTTTTCAATGTTTATTTATATAGCCCAATATCACAAATGTTACATTTGTCTCAGTGGACTTCATAGTTTGTACAGAATATCAGTATGACAATACGACACCCTCTGTCCTTAGACCCTCACATCGTACAAGGAAAAACTTCCAGCGAAAACCCACAGTTTAAAGGGGAACATGGGAGAAACCTCAGGGAGAGCAACAGAGGAGGGATCCCTCTCCCAGGACGGACAGACGTGCAATAGATGCCGTGTGTAAATTGAAAAGATAATACATTTGCAACATAGAATTTAAAACTAAAATTCCCAGCAGAGACGTGCCATAGAACATGTTGCGAAACACACAATAGCCAGCATGTGTAGTTCTGGGGACGGGGTGNCTGGCCTGGGAGCGCCTTGGGATCCCCCAGTCAGAGCTGGTTGATGTGGCCAGGGAAAAGAAAGTTTGGGGCTCTCTGCTGGAACTGCTATCCCCGCGACCCGACCACGGATAAGCGGGAGAAGATGGATGGAAGGATGGATGGATGGATATTTTAGTGGGAATAACTTATTTTTGTTTTTTGTTTTTGATTTACAGGTGAGGCATACTTTAATGCAACAGGTAAAACCTAATATAACCACTAAAACACACATTCTCCTTTGAATTTCAGAATCCCTTATGTGGCTCAGAAATGTTTATTCTTTTATATTATTCTCACAGGAGGTGCAGGGACTGAGGATGTGACTCCTGATATTTTGGACAAAATGGGTTTCATCTCATTGGATGCCATACTAGCAGCTATTTTTGCTGCAATAAAGTCTGGAGCAGTTTGGATTCTCTGGGCAATCTTGAAGTCAATCTTGAAGTCAATCTGGGCGTCATTTGGTAAACTGAATATTGTATTTCTTTATCTATAATTTTGTTCGAGTGGATATATTTTCATGCTGATTTAGGAAGACAACTACCAATTACAGTTTTCTGTTCTCTTATAAATGTAATAATCTTATATAAGTTTGTTTTCATGTGGCTCATTGAAAGTTTAAAGCAGCATCATAACACCATCACAAGCAAGTAAATAAAAGGGAAAAGTATTATTAGCAGCTCAGTGTGAATAGCATGTCATTGTTTTCTGTTTGTGTTTCATTAACAGGGTAACCTGTTAATGAAACACAAACAGAAAACAATGACATGCTATTCACACTGAGCTGCTAATAATACTTTTCCCTTTTATTTACTTGCTTGTGATGGTGTTATGNGGATATTAAATTGAATATAAATGGGTTAAAAATGTACTGGATTTTACGTCAAGAGAGCTATGGAGCAGAGAGTTCTCTCCCAGCCAGAGGTTGATTGTTATTAGGTTTCAATATGTCAAACTGATTTCCTGAATACAATCTTTGTTGACATGGTGAAACGTTATGCTGCTTGTACTAATAAGACTTATCCATATTAAAAGCCCACACAGGTTTTATACGGATGTATTTCATTATCTTTTACTTATGTTGCGCCGTCTTTAGCAGCCGCCATCTCTATTAACGGCCGATACAGTCACTACCCATCTTTTACATTTCCACCCGTGCATGGACAAAAAGTACGTCAGCTACCTCTGGCACATCAGACTCTCCTTGGAAAACATTTGCACCGGGAAACGATAGAACAAGCACGTTTCAGCGGAAGGACCTGTCATGGCTGCAACCCGAGCAAGCCAAAAAAACATTGATGCTAATTTCGAGTAGCGCTAGCTTTTAGGCTAACGTTAGCCAAGAACGAACTTGCCGAGTAAATTGGGGAAAAATCTGGGTTATTAATTATTCTATTAATTGTAAACTACGGTTGTAAAAACGGACAATTCAAAATACAGATTTCTAATGGTCCAGAATATGATATGCTCCAGATACCCAAAGATAGGCAGGTACTGGCTTTCAAGCGAACACCAGGGAAAAAAACTTAGCGGGAGTGTTTACGTGTTCGGCGTAATGACGTACAACGGCCTCGACAATTTCTGTAGTCCTATTCAGCCACTCTGTAACAACCATCGTTTTTCAGACACGTAAACTCTTCAAAAATCCCCAGTGGGGTCACTGCTGATGTATTTAATGTCGTAGAAAAAAACGTCAATTACCTCTTAAATTTGTGTCAACCACAAGCCTTATTTCGAGCTATTTTCCAAAACCCTATGGAAAAAATGCATTGCTTTTTGAGGAAGGAACCGGAAGTGCTAAAAATGCTAACTTACTTCCGGGTTTTACGACGCGTCACTGCGGTTCTCTATGCATGGGTTGGAATACAAAAGCACTTAAAAGTATATTTTTCTTGATTGTCGACTTGAATACTTTTTTAGGAGCATCTGCCCAGCCTCAGAATCTACCGCTGACATATAGAGCTCTGATATAAATAAATGTTTTCTGTTATGGTGACAAACCTCTCAGTCGATACTCAGGGAAAGACTGCTCCTTATTGGATTTCAGGATTGATCACTGTGATGACACATCGTTCCTCTTTCTCTTGTTGTCTTTGCTGGCTGTCCAATTCTACATCCCTGAAGCATGCTGAGTGATTGAGGCACTTTGTGCCACTTGGATGTGATAATTTTCTCCTTTATCCTTATTTTCACAGTTACTGACAGCGGCAGGCTGAGAATGGAGACAGTGTGGATATGAGCACGGTTTATATAGTGTGAGACCATATCAATTGTAAACCTCTGCTGAATGACAATATGTCATTAACACCATCTCACCTGACCCCACCACTCTCAATGTAGTAGGAACAGCTTCAGATATTTAAATTAATGCTGTCATGTGTTTAAAAGACAAAAGGATTTCGGACCTCAATGCTGACACTGAGGCAAAACAGTACGAAGATAAATGACTTTTACTAAACCATAGATGGCATAGTTAGTTGGCATATTACCCTCCTAATTTACTTAAAAAATTAAAAATGTAGGACTTCAAAAAAGATATAAAAAGTCATCAGTCAGTACTTGTTTCCCAAACATTCCCACATCTCAAGGGCTCTGCAACACCATACTCCGACTCTGTATCAGATTGCCACATATTCTCCCACCTATCCCATTCACCAGACTCTCACATCCACCAGCTCAGCTGTTTTCACTTACTTCATCAGCCCTGCAGTACATAACTGCCCCGTTTCCACTCATTCTCAACAAGATTGTCAATGTTGTTATGATGCTTTTAGCTTCTGAAACCAGTCACCTACACTTGTGCCTTGTTTTGAGTTGTGTTTTACAATGAACTACTATTCCATTGGCGGCCTGTTTCTGGCCATTGATAACACAAACAGGTTTCCTTTTTT